GTATCTCCAAAATGTAACATTATGGAAAAAGAGCACAGACTTTGTCTCATGAAACAAAAGGATCTGCTGGGATAATAAATTGACTTTRTAAGCCAAGAAACACACATACCACTAAAGTCAAGTTTCTGAMTATAACTCGGAACTGCAAAGGTATCTGAAAAGTCATTTAGAATTTTTCATAAAAGTAAGTTAAAAAGGCAGGCAAAAGTGTCTTTTTCATGAGGACATAGACAACATACAATTGAATCTTTTCCCCTGTGTGTATTTAATAGTACCTTTTGAAGTTCTTCAAAGAGATGGCAGAAAAGCAAGAGCAAAGAGAGGAACACGTGACTCAGAAGCAACTAGCTATCCCATCCCCAGGATTCATAGTTCAGAAAAGCAATTATAGTACTGAATTCTGGACTGTAGGAATATACATTCAAAATGGACGGAATATGACTAATCTTGTTTTTCTACCACAAAATGCTACTCAGTTGCAGTAACTCTGCAACTCCACCAGCAYGAGCAGCAGGCTAGTTGTCATTTGCAAATTTAGCATTTATTTTATCGTGCCATATGTAGTCAAGAAATTCAACCAGGAGATGAAGGCTCTGCTCCACCCTGTTCATCCTCTACCTTCACAGAGGGAAGAAAGCAGAAGGGAAAAAGGTGAAAAATAATGTTCTGGGTAGAGTTCAGATGCAGTGAATATCATCTAAGTCATTTCACATTATGTACTCTATGCTACTGCCTTTACTTTGCCAGTTACTTTCAGTTGACCACTGGGGCTGCTTATCAGCAGCTCTGCAGGGAAGAGGTCATAACACACTGAAAACAGCACAGGAAGGGACCAAAGAAGACATTTCCCTCCCAGCAACAGGGCAATCCAAGCAGAAGCTCAGAAATCAGCTTGTGGCTCAGACAGGGAAAGCTCTAGAAGGGAGAGCCCTGTGGCCTTGGTAGTGCAGCTGCTTGCAGAGGGGAGGGAGGGAGACGARTAAATAAAGTGTGAGGCAGGATCCCTCCCAGCCTCCCTTATTCAAATAAATCACTTAACTTTTCACAGAGCAGCAAATCTCCTTACTCCTCTGGATTAAAGGCAGACTTAAAAGAACATTTCTTAACAGACTACCCTGTCCCAGGGTCATCCCTGATGCACTCTGGCTAACCACATGCAGAAAACTGTGTTAAGGATGTCCTTGATTAAAAACAAAAAGTTTATTTCTAAATAAAATTATACCTTTAAAGACAATTAAAAAGCTTACTGTACATAGGATACATTTTTAATTTTGCTTTTATGGAGGTTGATGACCATTAGACAAGAGTCTGTGGTATAAGAATATCTCTTTGAAACACCTACCGGCCTTTTGCCATCCTGTAGTATGCAGTGAAATGAAATTCAAGGTCTCAGATCTCCTATGCAAGGAAGAGACAGCAGGACAATCATTTCAGAAGATAATTTTAGGCTGCTTATTGAYGACAGAGAGCTATGGGATTCCCACTAAAATTTGAGGAAGCAATGATATTTTATCCCAGTACCAAGAATGTTTTTGAAGATTTCATTTGCCTGCCTACATGTTTTTCATAAGGATCACAGCATTAAGAAAGAAAGTTAATAATAAAAAAATAAAGGCTAATTTATAGTTCACTACATAATGTCACAGAAAAAAGTAGGTAATTTCAAAAATAAGTTAAAATATGTGATATGAGTGAGCAATATTGCCAAAATACCCATTACAGAAAATGTTCAGTACAAGAGGAGCAAGACAGTGGAATGAAGAAATGCTTCTTCCAGGGGAACAAGTCAGATGAATGGGCACATACCACACAGATAATAGAGAAAATAAATACTCAACAGTGAGCTACTTTGGGTGAGCTACTTTGGGTGAGCTACTTTGTCAATACATTGTTTAGTAAGAAATACTGATCCTCAGGAATCAGAGAAACAAGAGGAATCCCCTGAAAAAAACTGCATCTTTTATAGATACAAACTGCTTCAGTCCTGCATGGGAACCAGATCAAATCCTGAAATGCCTTCTCCAGCTTGGATGAAATACCAACATGGTGACGTCAAGGAGCCCCAGTATCATCAGTAAACTGACATGTTTTACAACTAAAGAACATGAACACTGCAAGTGCTTTCCTGAAATTAAGCCTCCAGGTGATCTATTCTCAAAGCTAAAATTTCTTCCTAAAGATAGTGAGACAGATGCTGGTGCTGGGTGTGGGACATTAATCCACAGAGTCAAACTCCGCTGTGCAATGGCTCACAAAATCAGGGCAGACACAGTACAGGTGGCACACATTCTCCTTACACCTTCTGGGCCAAATCCCCACCTTCTAAGCCTACAACAAACCTCTCATTAGCTTCAGGAAGTAAAACTCCCTGTGGCCATAGGCATCCTCAGCAATAAAACATTGAAATCACTTTTCCTGATTTGCTAAAACATGAAAAGACAGAAAAGGCAATGGCTCAGGGAAGCTGSACCTCAGCACACTGCAGGCATGGCATGGCTTCTCTGATGCCTTCATACCAAAGCAAACTAGTAAAATGTGAGTTAAGTAGCTGACCTTTGTGTTATATCACAAGCTGCTTGTGTGGACACCAAACTTCCTCCTACCATTCTTGTAAGTGCTCACTTGTACTGTAACAAAAGGCTAACATTGTTCTGATAGTTTCCTTAATACAGACACTAAGAAAATGCTAAATAACAGCATGGAAGTACTTTATCCCCCGATTTCCCCAAGCCAACAAACTTCAGAATATGTATAATAGTAATTTCACCTTCCTGGTACATTTTCCATTTCTTTTCTCTATGTAACTCAAACCTGTTTCAAAAGAAAAACATAGTTTCAATGCACGTCTCCCAGCAAGGCTTGCAATTATTTTCAGAAAGCATGGCAACAGCTCAGCAGGAGTGAAAAAAACATAGTTAAAAAAAAAAAAAGGTCATATTTAGCAAAAGCTGAGTTTGTCCATATTTTCTTCTTTTTCTTTATTCTTTGATGTTTTGCCTTTGGAAAAAAATGCAATTTTGGTGGCACTGCTTTCCTCTCAGCTTCTCCACAGCAAGCATTTGGAGATCTTCTGGTTACAATGAGCCCAAATTTTGGAACATCTTATACATGTTTCTGGGAAGAGGGTAGTACCGCATTCACTAGGTCTCTCTAGCAAGTACCACCTTTCCCTTAGAATTGCTGCCCCAGCACTAGAGCCAGTAACTGCAAGGGAAAGGGATGAGACAAAAGGAAAGAAAAATAAAAAAAGAAAACCACCAGAGAGAAAGCAAAAGAATAACCTCTTTTCACATAGATAACATTAGGAACTGAGAAAGCTAGTGACTTTTTTATGCCTCCCAATTAACCAAGCTGCTCAAAGCTCAAGAGGGAAGAGCAACAAGTATATGAAAACAATCCTAGTATGTTGTTCTGCTTTCATGACCATTTATTTTGAGAGCCATTTATTTTATCTCCAAACATTCCCTCACATCATGTTTCATCAAGAGGGTTGACCTGAACCTTCACTTTCCAGCACCCACATTTTTCTGCCCCAAGAGTCTGAGGTGAAGCTCATGGGATGCACATAATTGGGAGCCAGAAAACCTCCTTTCCACTTTGTCACCAGCTTGCAATGGCAGTTACTTGCTGAAATCCACAGCACCTCATCTAAGCTAAAAATAGCAATATGTACTTATTTTGGTAAAGAATTGCTTTTTAAGCAACTATAATAGTGGCAGAACAATTAGAGCTTATTTTTAAATATTTAAACTTACAGTTCGTAGGGAATTTGCTCAGTAACCAATTCCTAAATAATCTGAGAACAATCCAATTTAAAATAATTTGAATCTCTCCTCCCATTTTAGCATCCCCRGTGAGGTAACAACCTTTTAAATAAAGCTAGTGATTGCTCATTAACAATGTGAAGCCTTCACTGTAGTTTTTGAGGTAATTTTTTGGGGAACTCATGCATGTCTGAAGAGATTATAGCAAAACAACTTGCTCTCTGGAAGGGCTGCTTTAGTAACTTCTGTAATCTCTGAGCTGGTAGGAACATGGATGGCCAGACACAATCAAAACTCACAGACAGTAACAGAAAGAAACCAAACACGGAATCCTGCACCCAGAATCCTCAAGGAAAACAATGTGCCTACCGACACAGGAATCAAGTGCAAGGACATGCCTTGCCTCTGCAGCTACTCCCACTGCCAGCTGGACGCATCCAAAGGAACACTGCCTTTTGCCTGGCTGGCAAGGCTACAACCAGGACCTGATCAAACACCCTCTAAAGTAAATACCATTATATGAGTGAGTCAGGGCAACAAAACACTTGGAAAGCCCAGTTTGGGGGCTAGCCAATGGATTTTTTTCTTTCAGTTTGGAGCTTGTGGTCCTCAAATGTCTCCCCAAACTGGAAAGCACTTGGGAGATATGTGATCAGCCACCACCGAGTACAACGGCTGTCAGCTTCACAGGAAAGTGTCCCAAACCCCATATATTTCACCATTCCTGGGCAGCGGAAAGTATTTACACACGCACAAACCCAACCGGGTTTTCTGTCAAAAGCCCTTTTTATTGCAGGGTCAAGGAGCGAGACTGCAGTTCACCGGCGGGTACCCGATCCTTGGCCCCTGCGCCCCAAGAACCATTACTACGGGTTGGAGAGCCCGGTGCTGCCCCTCGCCATCCTTCACCGATCCGGGTACCAGCCACTCCCGCGGGAACCTTCCAGGGCCGTTCGCATCCTCGGGGTCCCAGGAAGGAGCCACCCAAGCACAGAGCTACGGCCAGAGCCGGACACACGGCGCCGGGGTTGCCGCTCCCCCCGCCCGCATCTTCCCCCCGGCGCTCCCGCTGCCCGCGGCGCCGCGCAGGCCCGGGGTTGCGCTCCCCCCGCCTCCGACACCCGCCGGGGGCTCCCTCGGCATCGCCGCCCTTCGCCGCCGGTGCGCCCGGGAGCGCGGGCAGCGGGCTCGGCCGCGCTCCACCTGCTCGCCGCGGCGGCCACGGTCCGTACTCACTCCGCGTAGCCCGTGGTCCAGGGCAGGCGCCGCGTGTCCTTGCTGAGGATGAGGATGGGGCGGGCGATGTGGTCGGCGGAGCACTCCACCTCGTCCGGGGACAGTCCCAGGAACTCGGGTCTCCCGTAAGGGAAGCGGAGGGGCAAGTCCGCGCCGCTGCCGTGGTCGGCGCCCGCACTGCCAGCCATGATGCCGCCCATGAAATTGGCCACGGCGGACTTCACCCGCGTGAGCATAGTACCCCCGCCGGCGGCGGCGGCAGCGCCGGGGCCGCCGCGCAGGGCGGGGAGCGGGGCGCGCCGGCGGGCAGCGCAGCGGAGGCGGCTCCGGCAGTCCCCGCCGCGCTCCCGCAATGGGGGCGCCGGGCCGCGCGGAGCCGGGCGGGGGGACGGCGGGCTCAGGGGCAGCCGCGGGGCCGAGGCCTCATCGCAGGTTTCCCCCTCCCGGCGCGGCGCTGGGTGAACTCAGCCCGGCGGCAGCGGCTGCTGAGTCATGTGATAGCGCGGCTGGATTCGCCCGGGCGCTTCCTGCTCCTCCTGCGGCACCGGCGGGCTCCTGGCACACGCCGGGCACGGGCGGCCGCCGCCCCCGCCCGCCTACGCGAGCCGGGGGGCGGCCCGCGGCAGGTGCGCGGCGGGCGGAGCCTGAGCCCGGCGGGGCCGCCCCCGGCTGCCCGCAGCGATGCGGCTGGGACCCGCGGTGCTGTCCGCGGCCGCCTCCGGGGAGAGCCACCCGGGCGGCGTTTCAGGCGGAATCGCTCGGGGTTCCATAACCGGCGGCTGGAGATCGCCGCACGCAGTGCGCTGTCCCTGCTGCGSCTGGGCTGAGCCCGCGCCGTCCTAACCCCGGCAGAGCCCGCTGATCCTGCCGGACGAGACTCCCCCTTGGAGGGTTTACTTGCCTTCTCCTGCTTAAACACGCCAAGGATATTTTCCCCACAAAACCATTCCTTAGAAAAAAGAACCCGGGACGGGGCCGAAAGCGAGCCCTGCTGCCGGCCTGCCGTGGGGCCCGGGGACATGTCCGTCAGCCGSTCAGGGGCGACGGAGGGGAGCCCCCGGGCGCTCCGCGTACCGCCTGACATTTAGGATGCTGTCATAGGGCACAAGTGGAAGGATGGGGCCAAATACCTTCAAATTTGAGGACAAAGATATTTTAACTCCTTCTTGTTGTGTAATTTTGACCATGTTCTACCCTTCTACAATTTAAAAAAAACCCCATAAATTGGAAGGTCTGTTCCATGTGGTGGTCACCCAAATGTGTGRAAAGCTTGCAGATTTCGGTATGCCAAGCTTTAAGAAAATGTAGGATCGTAGCAGGAGCATGTATGAAGTCTGTCCTCTGTAGCAAGGCTCTGTCTGTGCCCTGTGATTCCTACAGCACTCCTCAGAGCGTTAAGTCTCACTGGAAGGCAGTGACYTGCGAAATGAAACAGGTAGCTATGGCAAGCCATGAGAGTAGTGCAGTGCTGGAAATTAACAGGGAAAAKCTGCTTAGTCATCATACACAGCATACAAACAGTGGGGATGGTTGGCCATCATCTTGCTGGCTCACACTAGAAACCAGCTGGCATAAAGCTGAACACACAGTTGCAGAGGTTTGAAGAATGCATCCTGTGAGCTTGTTCAGTTTCTGATTATTAAACAACATCCTGAGAACTAAGTTCAAACAATGCCTGTGTTTGCTCTAGATTCTGATGTAAAGACATAAGAAATGTAAAGCTCATCGCTTTTTATGATAAAGCTGTCTATTAATAAAGTCTAGAGAGCCAAAAGTATATTACAGAGCAGGGATGCTAAGAGCATGTTAAGTGTCTTCTGAAGTAGCATTGGAAATATATCTACACCAAATTAAACATTACAGACATACTTCCTTTAGGAAAATGTGTTTCTTTTTCCTATCTCTTATTTAGTCATTTCCAGGGGTTGATATAAGTATTTTGAGGAACAGTATACTTCTCTTAGTTCATTCCCAGTTTTTTCCACCCAAAAAGATTTCTTTATACTATCTTTTGTCTGCTGGATGGCCTGTGTTTTTTTCACCCAACAGGTACTCCAGCATTCATTTCCCTCAGTAATGCTTATAGGATCTGCCACCCAGAGAAAACAGGAGTGAGAGGAGGGACGTGAGCAGAAGTTGACATATATTCCTCTATCCTTCACATGTTATCAATTATACTTCGGGGGAAGCTGTGCAAACATACTAAACTTTGCAGTTTATTGGACTCAAAGACTTTGAAAAATATCATAGGCTAAAACTCAKAGAATGCAGTGTTTGCTCTCCAGCCCTACACTATGGTCACTATTCTGCACAAAACATGAGGGAGAAATGGGAAGGAATATGTGTGGCCTTGTTAGAGTTTAAATTATTATCTCTGCTAGATGACAAGAGCAAGCTCAGATCAGACATATGGGGAGACGGCTTAGMAGCTCACCACTCAAAACAGATCTGTGCACTGTTTGAAATTCTGTGGATGCCTGCCTCTGGTACAAGAATGCTGTAAGGATACAACAGTACAATGGGTGTGATATGGCTTCATACCGAAAAGTGTAGAGATGCCTTGATTTCAGTTCTCTGGGAAAGAGGATCATGTTCACTTTTGAGTCAGAAGTGAAGCCTTCCCAAAGGAAGTAACAGTCAGACCTGCAGGGCTCRGCAAGTGCCCCATATCCCCTAACCTTGTGGTCCATCTGGTCCAAGCCAGACATTTTTCTTTGGTGATAGGTAGACCCTTAWAAGTTTGGATATTGAGTTCAAATAAAATTTTGAGGCTGAATTCTCCATGGAAATATTTGAAAAGCAGTCAGCAAAAAATTCTTAGGGTTATCAAAATGTTTCTGTAGGTATTATTTTTATATAAAACCATGGAATATCTCRAATTGGAAAGGACCCATGAGGGTCAGGAGTCCAACTCCYTKCTCCTTGCAGGACTACCTAAAGCTAAACCATATGGCTAAGAGCATTGTCCAGATGCCCCTTGACCTCTGACAGGCTTTGTGCCATGGCCAGTTCCCTGGAGAATCTGTTGCAGTGACCAAACACCCACAGTGAGAACTTCTSCTAATGTCCAGTCTGACCTTACCTTACAGAATGAAGCAGTTTCATTCTGCTTCCTTGTGTCTCATTTTTGCCTTTGTAGCTACTTTTTAAGAGAAATGTAAGAATATTCACTTTAAATAAAGGAACAGCTTGCAAAATGAAATATCCGCTTGGCTGTARTGATTCTGGTTCTAGCTTGTGAGTATTTGAGCAGGAAGTATATTATGTGGAGTAGCTGGAAGTGCATCCAGTGAAGGTGCATTGACTCAACAAGTTCAAATTTTCTCTAATAATAAAAAATATTTCTGGTGCAGGTCCTTTTTTGATTCTTTTGCATAATATGACAATACTTGGGGCTCTGCCTCATAGGAATGTGGAACTCATTTCAACAGTGTAACTTTCACTAGAAATTGAAACCTTGTTTATACCTTATTTTGCTTGCTTACTTGAAGATTTTTTTTCCTGTGGTTTTCATGCTCTGGATAAAAGCAATAGAAAAGCTCCCGAAGACTTTGGTGAGAGATGAAGTAGATCCAATGTGAGATGAGTGCACCGTTTCTGCAGGTCTGAACTTCTGCATCATGCTATCAGAGATGTAGACAATATCCACAGGTGTGAGTGAACTCAGCTGCTGAATGACTTCAGAGAGTGTGTCAGAATAGGTGCCTGACATTGTGGGATAAAGCTGTATATACAGGGAAAAAAAAAAAGTTTTGATGGAAAAATTGCACTTCTCTGTCAATTCCCCATACAAAAAAGTACTTAAAGCCTCATTTTTGCATATGATTCTACTTAGGAAGATCAGCATGTCATGTGGTGATCAATGAGGTTATTCTTACCTTTCCAAAAGGACGTGCAACCTTTAATTAGCATGAGGGAGCTCTTTATCTCCAGAGAAAGGCCCTTCAGAAGTGCAGTGCCTGAAGCATCGCAGTGATGTGGAGGACAAAATGCCTCTTATTAAGACATCAATCCTACTTTCTGCAGTACCAGACCTCTGTCTGCCTGCAGCAACCCCCAGCATTTCTAGGCTTTTCAGAGCTGATGAGATGGAAGCTGTTTGTGCTCTTGCCAGTTTGCAGACAGAAGGATCAGTTAAACTTAAAAATAAATAAATGTTAGCAAGACTTGAAGTGRTATCTTTCCTCTGCTTTACCTGATTTCTACTGCCCCATCCTCTAGTCAATATTAATTTCACACATGGATTTCCTTTTGAGAGACTTCTTCAACTGAAGCTCAGAGAGAGCATCTCCATCAGAACAGGGTTAGTGTGATGGTCCCAAGGCTTTGTGGTCCAATCCAGTCCCCAACAGAGCATGAGCTGGGTAGTCCCAATGAAGGCTGCTACCCAAAGAGCTGAATTGCACAGAATGGTATCAGGGCCAAGCCCTTGTATATTTTACTGTCCAGAATGAAATTTAGGGTAAGATGTTCTTTTTCTATTACTGTCCTAGCCACAAGGTGATCAAAACCTGTAAGAATTTTTGCTTTGTCTGGCTAGAGGGACTGTAGCTGGATTCAGCTTTCATGACCTGGTGCTTTTTGAATTCAGGTCCTTCTCTGATTGTTGCATATATCAGAGACCTGCTGAAGCACAGTGAGGACTGGGGGCATGGGAAAGGCAAGCAAACATGCAAAGTTTCTTTTAGATTAGTGTGAAACTAGTTGTACACATGGGTTTCATGCTAATAGGCAACATAGACACATCAGGAGGCCTGGGATGGCATGCAGGAAGAGGAGCCAGAACTTTTCTGCCCCACTGCCGACTCCACATATGGAGAATTGCCTTTGCTCTTGGTCATGCTGAATGGCTAAAACCCTGTGATTTTAGGGATTCAAAAGCTAGAGATTTTCTCATCAGCAGGACTTAACTGAGAAGGTATTTTCAGAGCACCACTGTTGTACTGAATCAGGATGGCTTTAACAAAGCAGGGATGTGAGCCCTGGTGTCCCATTTCCCAACAGAGCCTCCCCCTCCTGCTTTTGCAGCTTCATACTTTCTGCCCCTTCCCAGAAATATTTTGCAGGTGATACAAAGAGAATCCCTGTCATAGTCCTTACTCAAAAATATGCTGTACAGCTGAGTAGTGAAAGTATTCATGCCAGAAAAGTGGGTTCATATCCCTTCTCACAGCAGAGGACTAATAAATGCAACATTATGAGCTGCATGAAAGCAGCCTTCATTTACATACCTAGGCAGAAAGAAGGCTCTGAGGAGGGATTTTAATTGACTAGCAATCACAGCAAAAGATGTCACAAAATCATAACACTACTTGCAATCTATATAAATATAAATATATATATATATATGTAATTATATATAAATATATATATTTATAAATAAATACTTCAACATAAGCTGCCCATAATCACATTTATGACACTTGCAAGAGTGTCACATTTGCCAAAGGCTACAGAATGAATTTTTCTACAGGAATCTATCTGCAAATACCCTGAAAATAATTGTCTAATTTCACAATAAGCACCATCATTATGATTTTGCTTCTACAGTGTCTTCTCACTTCTCATT